GAATCTGCTGAGGGAACAGACCGTGCTGCAGCAGAAGACGTGCGGACCATGGAGGTGCGTTACTCCTTGTCGGGAGAAATACACCGTGGCTTCAAGGAGTCCATGGAGAGATGACCCAAGCTGATTTCGACGACTTTCCGCTGGAGCCCCGGACGGCTTTATCGCGCATGAAAGCTGTAGCAAGCGTCGCTGAGAGTGCCTTTGCCTAGCATCTGGGCTGGGTTTCCCAGTCAAAGATCCCTGATGGCGTGGATGGCCCGGGCCATCGACCTGGCAATAACCTACGCTCTCACATCGCCAACCTCAAGGCCCACGGGTCTGATCATTTCCTTCAAACCTCTTATAGGCCTGGAGGAGCAATAGTTGTGCCGGAGCTGACAGAGTATGTATCCCGAAAGCTCCATCAAGAGTCACAAATCCTTCAGCGCAAACAGGCGGAGATGAAGGGCAAGCATCATGGAAAAGGTTTTCAGTGGCGCAGCCGGATTTTTCATGAGCCTTGCTCCGATGGGAGAGCACGAGATGTGCTTCCATTGCCAATGCTACAGAATGTGGAAGCAGTGCAGGGCAGCGTGTGTCGGGCTGTGCGCAGACGTTTGCAGAAGAGATCGGCTGTTGCGAAGATGGTGAACCGGGCCATTTACTCTTTGAATTCACTATATTTAGGAAGGCACTGGGAAGGGACTGAGCGTGTCACAAACTTTGACTACCTCTTTCTCCATAAATGCAGTATTTTAGGACACACCACAAGTTGCAGAGGACGAGTAGGAGCTTTTTGCGTCACTAAGAAGCCCAAAGAAGTGGCTGGCCAGCTGGTTGAGCGACAGCGGTTGATTCTAGATTGTCGACAAGTCAACTTGGCCTTCAGAGATCCACCTAAGACTGAGCTCGGTAGCCTCGCGGCGTTGCCAAGATTTCCTCAGAACTTTCCAATTTCTTTTGCTTGCGCCGCAATTTAACTTACAAGAGGCAAAATCAATTTGGGGGAGGTGGGCTTCAATTCTGGTTGTTCCCACATTTCACCATGCGTCAATGTTTTGCCCATGGGGTTCAGCTGGAGTTTTTATCTTATTCAAAAAATGCATGAGCAGTCGGCGGTTCGGTCTTTGGGAGTGGGACGAGACAAACCTGTTTTAGACGGGTATCCTGCCCCTTTGCTGAGTGGCAACGAAGCTGTGGCTATGCCTTATTGCGACAATGTGCACACAGCTTGTCGCTCTCCAGGAAGTCTGCTGATTGCAGCATATGCAGGACGATCTCTCTGGGATGGGATTTGCTTTGCATGAGGAAGTGGGGGCCACAACATATTTTCAAACGTTCGGCGGCGTCGTCGATGGAGATACAGGTCAAGTACGGGCCAGTCCAACTCGGGCATGGAACATCTTGCTAGCATTTGAAGAGACTCTCTCAATGAAGGTGGATTGGAAGGCCATGCAGAAATTGCTGGATCATGCAGTTACTTTGTGCGTTCTCAATCGCGCAGGTATATCCGTTTTTCGTGCGCGCTATGATTATATAGAGAAGGGTGGACCTCCTGGGTATCTGAACAAGTTGGAACGACGAGAGGTGGAGATATTTATTGGATTGGTACCCCTTTTCGTAGGTGAACTGCGCGCCTGGTCCACTACTGCTTCAGGATACGGGGTTTGCAAGCTGGAATTACCTGAAAGTGATGTTCGGAAGCTGGGCGCTTGGCAGGACCGATGGCGCTTCAAGCACCTTGATCCTTCAGAATGGCGACCGCGTGAGCGCTATGAAGGACAGGATGCGCTTCGGGACTTCGCCATGGCTCGGGTTTCTCCAGTGAGTACAACGGCTGAGGACCTATACACTTACAACAATGACTTCCCTGAGGTGCCCCCTGAGATGTTGAAGCCTCAAGATTGGTCTACGGTGATGATAGGTCAAAGGAGGGATACCAGCGGTCACATTACTGCAAAAGAGGGTCACGCTCTTTGTTGGCCAGACACCTTTGTCGTTCACACAGAAATCGAAACAAACGTCATTTGGTGATGATGGACAACTTTGCTCTGAGTATGACCATGTGCAAGGGTAGGGCTACAAATTTCGGTATGTTGCGTACGGCTCAAAAGGTGGCAGAGCTTTCTTTGGTGGGTGGTTTTTCAGTGCGGACCAGATGGGCCCCTTCTGAACACAATGTCGCAGACGGGCCGTCAAGAGGTCAGATCCAGCCGGTCCTCTTAGCAAGTCGCCCCCACCCCGTCCAGAAGCAGCAGGTTCGGCGAGTGGTGAGTGGGAGCAGCTTGCAACTTCCAGCGCGAAAGAGTTCCCGGACGCTTGTCGTGCTGGAGCCCAATTCAAAAAGGCCACGACGGCAGCCAAGAAGAGGCAGTTGCCAGACCCTGTCATCAAGAGTGTGCCGCCAGTAAAGAAGAGAAGGACTTTGCAGGCAGTGAATGGCTTGAGCGAGGAAGCCAACAGCCTTGCGAAGATGAGTGTGCTGAGTCATTTAGAGAGACGATCCATCTCGCAGGTGGTGGAGAATCAGAAGCCGGGCTTCAGGAGTTCAGCAACCTCAAGAATCACAACTGGACGCGCTGCTGACAGATTATATGGATCATCTTTACCTAGAAGGCAAACATGTGGCAGACGGAGAAAAAACTATGGCAAGCGTGGAGTTCCACCATGTGAGGGCGCGAGGATCTTTGACAAGGGCCCGCCGTGCACTACGGGGGTGGAGGAAGGAGTGGCCCGCCTCAGAGCCGGGTCCCAATGCCAAAGATGTTGGCGTATGGGCTGGCTACGCAGCTGTGGAGCCACGGACGCAAGGACATGGACATGGCCATCAAAGTGATCCAAAGCGTTTAGGGGAGAAGCACCTGGTCAGACCAGTGGCAGGGGCTGGAGCGCAGTTCCAGTGGCATGCAATCATTGTCCGGGACTTCGACGAAAAGCGGCCAGACAAGGTCAGTGTTTTCGACAACACGATGGCTCTGAATACTCCGGAGCGATTTGGCTAGGCAAAGTGCTGGCGAAGCAGATGGTGGGCAAGAGCAAAGAGGCCAAGATCTTCCCCTTCACCATGAAGGAATTCTTTGATGGGCGTTCCGGGACTCCACCCGCATCAGTTGAGCTGCAGGCGACCTGGCCAGCAAGACCAGAGAATATGCGGCCGTGAAGGCTCAAGGACGGTGGGGCACCGATCAGAGTGTTCGACGATACACCAAGACTGGAAAGATCCAGTCATTGCTGGCCCAGTTATCGCGAGGAAGTCTGGAGTATTGTCGCTGGTCTCTTCGCAACATGCAAAAAGTGATGAACGGGCCAGTGGCTGCCAGATGACTTTGAAGCCTCCTTGGGAACAAGATGTGTTTTCATTGAGAGATTTGCCGTCTCACTTCGCCCTTGAGGTTTCTGCAGGCACAGCTAGAGTGAGTTAAGCAGGGCATTGTGTGTTATCATATTGATATATGCATGTTTCAGCATCATGATGTGTTGATTACGGACATTGAACACAAGCTTTTCAATTGGATTCGCAGCGGCAGGGTGCTTTTCGTCTGGTGTGGAATGCCGTGTACTTCGTATTCACGTGCTAGAAAATGGGATGGCTTGGGACCCGGACCACTACGTACAAGTCAGTATTTATGGGGACTTTCTTCTCTGGCGCAAAGGCAAAGTTCGCAATGGTAATTTGCTTTGGCTTTGGAGCGTTCGGCTTTTTACATTGTGTATCCATCAATTTATTCCGGTCGTTTTGGAGAAGCCTTTATCTAGCATGGCTTGGGATATGCCACCTATGCAGAAATTGATTCGGCAATGCATTCTTTCTGGTGTTCAGTTTGGAGTTCTGTCAGTTCAACGAACTTTGGAAGAAACCAGCTTTTTTGCTGTCTCATGGCATTAATCTGTCTGCATTAAACAAACAGTGCAATACACAACAAGGACGTTGTAGCCGCACTGGACGGCCACACATTCAGCTGACAGGAGCGGATGCCAACAGACTCTTCATGACCCTCAAGGCACAACCGTATCCGTGGGCCATGTGTGCTGTCGTAGGCACATGTGTGGCCAAAGCCCTGAGGGATCAGGGATTTGGGGGGTGAGCCTTAAAGGCCTTACCCTGCTCGAAATGAGCAAGGTTCCTTTGGCAAGCAACTTAGCACAGCTAGTCTGGCCACGAAAAATGGATGATTGCGAGTGCAGAGCAGAAGACATATATATATATATATATGTATGTACTGTTATGTATTCACATACACATGAAACACATGTGAGCGAGCGTGCACAGTACATGTGAGAGCATATGAAAATATATCCCAAAATCTGCAGTTCGTGGTCCGCAAGCTGCACCTCCAGGTTCACAGGCGCGTGCCCACCACGGCATTTGCACTTTGAGGTTCACAAAGTACCACTCCTGTCGGACAATTTTCTGCACTTCGAGGTTTACAAAGTGCTGTGGCTGTGCCTGCCACGAAATGATCCCAAATGTGCATTTCGAGGATTACAAATTGCTGTGTGTGCAGCGAATTCTGCACGTGTCAACTCACGTCGCGCAGGGCCGCCAGAGCGTGTTGCAACAAAAACATTCCACAGACCAATTTGAGATGCCAAAGCGAAATACATGCCCCAAATTCTGCAACGTTTCCACCAAAAAATCATCAGAACACGCTCCAGACCATCACCACAGTCCACAGTGCTGCACCTCCCACGAAAAGTCAATACTTCCAAACACGAGGATCCCCTCGCACCCGAATCCGAAAAATGAGCACCAAGTCCGAAAAGGTGTACGCACCACAACGAGAGCGCAAACTAATTGATGTAAGGGTCATCAAAATGGCCGAACACCCTCGATCAAACCCAAACTTATTGGGCTACCGTAAGAACCCCAAGTGTGACCACACTGTTTTGGGGAATCTGAGGAATCAGCTGAAAGGAGAGGTTTGGTGAAGCAGTCAGTTTGAGTCAGCAGGTCTGTGAGCTGGTCATTTATTCTCCTCATGTTTCGGAGTAGTTGTATGCAACTGAAGTACTTTCCTTGTCTAACACTCAGAAACTCATGCTTCCCGAAAAGCCACGAAGAGCGTGGGCTTGTTCCTCGAATTGTTGGATTTGCGAGAGGATGTCTCCAAGAAGTCTGGGCATCGGAGCAGAAATTCAAAGACCAAGCTGATGGGGCTGATGGGTACCGAGTACAAAGGACGCACTCCAAACGTTCAGCTTAGGATAGCGGGTAGCTGGCCTACTCTGGAGTATCTGCTAACGGTAATCTCTGGAAATGATTTCTCTATTTTGGAGTTGTGAGAAAGTATGCGGAGCAAGAAGGCTGGTGTACAGGACAAACACAAAGCAAGGTGGCTGTGCATCTTTTCTTTCACAAATTGTTTAATTACCATGTTTACTATTGTTTGCTAAAGTAAAAAAGTAGTCATTGTAGGACGATCATAGGTTTGGACTTGCACGGCCACAATCCCTCCGAAAATTTAGTGCAGAGATTTGTTGCATATGATTAGTCTTTTAGTCCATTGAAGCAAAGACAACCTTGAAACGCAGCCAACTTTTCATGATTTGCGTGTGGGAAGTTCCACCATAAATGAACGGGTTCTTTCTTGACCGCGGACAAGACATTGTGCTTCACTCCTCGAGCAAAGGCGTACTCCATATTCCATTTGGTCAATCTAAGGACTGCGCAATGTCAAGTTGAAGACCAGCGAACAGTTGGTGCCATGCTATTGTTGATATTGATTCAGATGCCTTTGTTTTCATGCAGTTGTTAAGGCGCTTGATCAATTTCTTAGAGCATGTCAACGTTCCGCTTGGTGCACACATGGCTTCTCACACGAGGAGTATGCTTGTAGCTGCCCCTAAGAGCCTAGATTGCTGGAAAGTTTATTCTTGCTTGAGCGTGTTGAAGTTTCATGCAGATACCAACCACGCAGCTTGCACAAAATAGGATTTTCACGCGAAAGACAAGACAAACACGTCTTCACTCAAAATCCTTTTTTGGTCCAAGCAGCTGACTTCCACCAAGCAGCTGTGTACACCATGCAGCGGCCGCTCTGGTGTTGCACGGCGCATGTGGACGAGACCGAGGACCGCTGTGTCTCTGCAGTTTCCTGATGTTTCCTGAGAGTGTGGCAGCTTCTTCATGCAATGGTGGAACACCAAGGTTTGGGCACTGTTGGTTGGTTTGATACAGACATGATGATGGCAACTGTCAGGAAACCTAAATAGTGACTGATGCCTGCAGCTGAGCGATTGTTTGCTATTGTGGTCCTTCGGAGCTTGTTTGGTGCCAAGGCCGCCTTCCAACCTTTGCCTCATGTGGTCCTTTCTACAAAGTACGAACCACCTTGGCTCCAGATTTCGAAAAACATGAAGGACTGCGCAAGACTTCCGGTAGCACCGTAGCATTTCACCTTGCTTGATCTTGTTTGGCAGCTGATCAAAAGTATAAAATATAGATCATAGGTCTTGTTGCTTGAGGACATTCTGGAAAAGCATGGTTGTTCGGTGTATAACCCCAACACCGACAACGAGGACTTGGGCACAGCTGTTGAGATTTCTGTAATAAACAAGAATGAACAAGATACACGCATGGGCCTGACGCTTGCAGGCAGCAAATAAACATGAAGCTGATGCCCAATGGCTCCGGACTTTCAATCGACATTTGGAGGTTGTGAAACAGACGAAAGGATTTGTCCTGCAGATTCAGCAGGGGGCAAAGCGGGAAAGAACCGATATGCAACTTGCAGAGGAAAAGCAGGCAGGATGGCTTCAGGTACCTCGAATCGGCATCTATGCCTTTGCCGAAGAGTTTCCTCTTGAGGGCACTGTGGTTGAGACTTCCTTGATCAGAGCCATTGACATGGCCAAAGAGCAGTGGGACCATGGAATTGCGAAAGGGGTTATGATGTGCAGCGAAATTTGGGAAACAGTGCAATTCACGGTTGACGCGGTGGGCAGTGTCACGGGCCCAGCAAAGGTCAAGTTCCCAGATGGTGCCACCATGGAGGGCTATTTCGTGCGTGGCCTGAAGCATGGTTCACGCAGGTACCAATCGCGGGATGGCCGCGTTGAATTGGGCCTCTACTCTATGGACGTTCCAATTGTCGAAATCCATCGGAGCACATCTGGAAACTTCTTCAAGTTCAAAGACGGAGAAGAATTGGAGCAGATCTCTCCTAAGGAGGCACCAGGATGTGGGCAGCCGCGCTTGCTGGGGTGATGTCCGACATGTAGTGTTTTGATGTGTTTTGCAGGTTTTGATTGGGTCCTTGGTTGAAGAATCGTGAGGAAGTGCAACCGACTATACTGCTACAACCTTAGACCAGTTCCACAGCGAGTGGTAGTTAGTACTGACAGCATTCGGTTGTCGTGCTTGTTAAACATATGGGCGGACGAATGTGCAGTCCTGTTTTATTTACAGCCTTCGGCATGCCGCCGGCCACCAGCTCGAGCCCGCATTGATACAATACCCTGCTCAATCATACTTGTTGGTGCATTGGAGGTGCACATTTGGCTGGGTGAGTTTGTTGATGTTTATTTCAAGGTTGTTTGACCATGAAATGGAACGAATCCGAATCAGAGGTTGTCTATTCTGATCCAGCGATCCGAACCGGCATGTCTCAGTCGAATCACCTAAGAGGAGCCAAGTGAAACCAACACAAGCAATGCGAACCAAGACTATCCACAAAACATGACCTTGAAAACGATTCTTCTTCCAAACTACTTGGCCGTGTGCATGTTTCCTTTTCAGATCTTTTTTTCGACCGTCTCGAGGGATTGCGACACGCACCAGATATTCTTTTTCACACACAGAAGGCTTCAAAGCGACCGAAGATTTTCTAGATCTGGCATGATTTGTCGTTTTTTCTCCAAACCGTTTGAAGTGAAAGACCCAGAATGACATCGAACAACAATACCCTGCTCAATCAGACTTGTGGGTGCATTGGAGTTGCACATTTTGCTGGGAGAGTTTGTTGCCGTTGATTTCAAGTGAAGTCGTTTTACAATGAAATGGAACGAATCCGAATCAGAGGTTGTCTATTCTGATCCAGCGATCGACATGTCTCAGTCCAATGGTTGTCTATTCTGATCCAGCGACCTACTACCTACTACCGACTACCTACTACCTACTACCTACTACTACCTACTACCTACTACCTACTACCTACTACCTACTACTGCTGCTACTACTGCTACTACTACTACCACCACCACTACCACTACCTACTACCTACTACGTACTACCTACTACCTACTACCTACTACTACTGCTGCTACTACTGCTACTACTACTACCACCACCACTACCTACAGTGGGTGGGGGGTGGGAGGGGGGGAGGGGGGTGAGGGGTAAGTTCCCCCAGAAGTGGCAGTTGACTAACTGGACCTGATCGAAACACCAAGCAGTCACACGAGTGCGTAAGGTGTGCGAGCGGCGTCGAAGCACACCTTTTCTATGGCAGTGAATGCAGTATTGGGCTACGAAGTCTTGAGCCAAATGAATTAAGTCGGAAGCGGACTGAAGAGCTACAAACTAGGATATGTACAAGAACAGGTGCTACACACGTATAGCGTAGACACGCCTAGGGGAACCTAGGACCCTACTAAACACAAAACAGACACAAATTTTCTTCGTGTCGAAGCTTACGATCGCTAAAGTGCAAAAGAATGTAAATGAATTCAGAAAGTTCTGTCTTCGCAGAACTCGACCGTAGATGCCATTCTGGCTCATCTAGATCGCGTCAGATAATCTCTACAAATCTACGAAGGGCATATTTGTTGCATCGAACGTTCCGGAATATCGGAAATATTCTTTTTCAAGTCAATTCATCAAGTTAAAGTCAAATCTATAAGGCCTTTAGTTTAGATATATCTGGGTCATTTAAACTGCATTTAGCTTTGTGGCATTTAGCTGTGCTCTAGCCGGCATATCGGCTTCCTTGAGCAGAGACTACCTACCAGTCCCTGTAGCCTCGGTAACCGGGGTTCCAAGATGACGAAGATGAACCGGTATACCACCATGAGCTTGACGCTCCCAAGGACCAGGGCTGGTGCCAGCCAGCTTGGCGAGCTTGTTTCTTCTGCCGAGACTGTTCCTTCAAACGTTCAAGCCGCTCGGCATTTTTTCTCGCCACGTTTCTCGGCGGATTGCTGGTCAGGAACTCTGATCTTGTGTCGGCTGGCAAGTGAAAAATTGCACTGAAAAGGGTGATGGTAACCCAAATCGCTGCTCTTCAGACACAGATCAAGGTGATTCAAGTGCTTAAGGAGTTCGTTGACCTTAACGGTAGTCTCTTTCTGGCGTGGAGGCCCTTCATATCCGACACGTCCACGATCATCCGGAATATCGGATGTCCTTGACCGCAACGTATGCATGTCCTTGCCGTAATTTAAGGCGATCTGCAACAAGCAGTCGCAATCGGCGTCCAGACCTTCCAAAGCAGCGAGCTGCTCACTGGCGAGGGTTGAGACCTCCCAGTTATAGGTGATGCGCTTACTCGGCTCGCGCTTCTTGTTCGCAGAAACAAGAATCTGGTCAAGGATGGTTAGGACAGCTCCGGTTCCTGGATCGGCATGTCGATCGCCCCGGAAGTTGCGGTTCGTGAACTGATTAGCATCGCACGCGATGATGTCCACCTGGTCTGCCACGGCCGTGATCAAAATCTTCATAATGGCGTTCTTACCGGCCGTAATACCTGACTGAAAGGCATGGGCATTGATGTGGAAAGCGCAAACTCGAATTTCAGGCATGTGCATGCGCTTGCAGTCGTTCAGGCTCCCGGTCCGGAATGTCGGACACTCGTGGAACAATGCCTCTGCATCCACTGGCGAAGCTTCAATGTATGTGGTGGATGCTTGTGCTACAGCTAAGGTGTCAGGGCAGACGGTTGCCTCCATGTTATCTGCTGGATCAGCGCCTTCTTCAAGGGCAACACGGAGGTTCTTTCTGACTCCACGGTCGCCGGTGATGCCTCCATCTGTGGATTCTTCGACCTTTCCCCAGAGCACGCGGAATGTCGCGGCATGGGCTACCCAGGCCAAGCGTTCGCCTTCAAGCTCAATCCGGCGGATGAGTTCCAGCCTCGAGGTACCAAGTGGATCACTGGAACAGACTGCTGCGATAGCAGGAGATTCGCCATCCGCCATGGCCAACACGCTCAAGCATTTATATTGGTTAAAGAGCTCTCGATGACGCTCGATGCCGTTGGCTTCAAGAAGGATTGTGATATGAGCTGTGTTCCTTACAAGGTAACGCGGAAGCACAGCGTATTGATCGGTCTCGGCGAGATCCCTGGATAGTGGCTGCCTGCCGTTGAAACGAGGTGTACGATTGATATCGCCGAAGTTGAGGAGCAGGACACTGACGTGTTCAGTCGATCGGAGTAGTCGTGCTTCATCGAGATCAAAGTCTCCCTGGTTCGCGCGATATCCCTGCATGTACGAACGGCTTAGCTCGACAATCTGTCGCATCTCCGCGCCGGTATATCGGCGATTGGAGTCGTAAAAGCAGCTTGGCCGAATGATTGGATACTGCCACATCGGACTGTTCGTCCCAGTGTTGAGCAATCGAGGGAATGGAACGGCTCCTGTAGGTTGGATGGTTCGTGTAATGGTATTTGCTGACTCCTTCGAGGACAATTCGATCCATCGCTGCACAACCTGTTGAGCCGTCACCGAGAACAAGATCTTTGATTTCTTGCAAACGGTGCAATCGACCGGCATATCGGTCGTCCGAGTGCCAACCCTCGGATTCGGCTGCGAAGGGAATCGTGAAGTCGACTTCTGCTGTGATCTCTTCGCGCTCGTGCTCACCCAGCGGTGCCGGAATATCGGCGTCTGGGACGGTCGAACAGAGATAAATGCTGTTGCATGAACAATGGTTACTGACATCGTGGTAGCAGTCAAGGCATGTGCCGTGCCGGCATGCTCGGCAAAAGAAGAGTACTTCAGCATTTGCACAGGTTAAGCAGGTCATCTCATCTGGGCGATGATGGAACTTAGTTGGTGCTTTCTGAGCTTTCCTTGCATCGCTGATGACCTCTCGCGCTCGCGAGGTCGCACGCTTCTTGGATGATGCTGCGATGTACTTCGTTTCCGGAATATCGGAAAACGAAACCCTGCGACCCTCGGATGGAGTGCGAGCTGCTGCCGGCGCATGGTCAGCCTTCTTAAGGACAGTAGGAGTTGGGGTTCGTGACCTTGCTCGGGAGGACCAGACCCGTGTGCTCTGCTTTTCTTCTTTCTTGACTGCTGCAGATGATGAGGCTTCTGCTGAAGGATCGTCCGGCATATCGGACTCTTCCTTCTTCACAGTGCCTTTCTTGACCCAGGTGCCCTTCCGGCACGCTTCTGCGAGGTCGTCCACCATGGCTTCATCTAATGTACTTATGACCTGAACATCGTCGTCGTCTGCCGGAATATCGGCGTCGACGTCCATGTCGTCGTCATCATCGACATCGATCAGGTCATCTCCCTCTTCCTCAGTCGTTTCCGACAATGAGCGTTACTTGAGACGACGCATGTTGGTGGCATCATCCTTCCAGTCGTCGTCGAGGGAGAGAAAATTCAGCCATGTCTCAGTGTGGATCTTGGACATGCCGTGGAGCTGATGGCGATCAAGTTTCTCCTCGGCCTCATTGCGCCATGCCTCGACCTCGCGAACCTTAATATTCTTAAAGGCAAGCCTCCTTGTTTCAGTCTTGAACTTATCGTGGCCTTTGCCTACCAGCCTCAGTACCTCGCAATAGAGCTGAGAATAAAAACGCAAGTACGGCTCATCGGGGACTGACATGGCTGGAGTGGAATCAGGGACATCCCACAGCAATTGTTTCGGATGTCCCATGCAAGACTGAAAAGACCGGCCGGAATAACGGCCTTGGTCAAAAAGTATCCATTCTTGCTCAGGCTAAAATCTTCCATGAGCTCTGGATGCTTTTCCAGCGTTGCCTTAGACAAGACGAGTGCCACGTTGGCCGTTGGTCGAATGTGTTCATAAGAGACCAAGAGTCCGTCGATCGGCAAAAAGTGGTTCATGTTACGTTGCTTATTGCCGGCTGTACTGCCGCCTCCGGGAAGGAGACCGTACTGCAGAATCGAACGGACGTGGCGATACTCAGTCATGTGAACCAGCGTGTCCGGCATATCGGAGAGCTGGCACTTCGGGATCTTAAGGCCTGCAATCGG